GGGGATGTCACATATTCCAAATCGTTTCTCATTTGGAGGTAGGTGATGTAATTTGTATGATCCGGGTGTTCTGTTTGTGTTTTGAAGCCAAAGGGTATTTTTGTAATATATCAGCTCAGGCTTTTATGGAAATAGGTTTCATGTTCGGAAAATTTTAGGGAAGGTATGAGTTGAGGAAAACATATAGCTTCTCATTACCTTTTCAGGGATATAAGGATTGTCAGAATTGGATTTAGAATGAGGAAGTTGTGGCCTTCGGAGTATGTTAAGGTTTAAAGGGAAACCCTAGTACATGGGGCGTACTTAGGGAGTACACGGGGCGTTCTGATGCAAAGTGTAGTATGTGAGGCGTAATGTGGTGTATGCTTAGCGTACTGCTAAGGATGGATCAGGAGTGCGAGACCTCGTACATAGGGCATACAAGGAGTACCCGGGAAGTACGAGGAGTAAGCGAAAACCCTAATTTAGGGTGATGTACCCTATATCAACACTTTAAGTCTATAGGGTTGGCCTTTCTACCAGCCTCCAAGCCCCTAAAACCCTAGAAATTCTTCCTTAGCCTCCATGGTTGTGTTTTTGACCTCATTGTGTGCATCTTGGTCTGTTTCGACCCATATTCAAGAAGAAGAAGTTTGGTGCAAGGTTGTGAATTAAGGAAGAGCTTGAAGATCTTGATTATTTGTTTCATTTGCTACTTGCTTAGGGTATAAAGATATGAACTTGTTCATTAATGGTGTAGACTATTATATGGTTTTTGGTCCCTTTTTGTCCCTAAGAATGAGATCTAGTGGTTTGGTACAACTCCAGGAGCTATGAGTTGCCACTCTTTGTGTTTCTGAGGTTCTAAATTCAAAAAGTCATCACCTTTAGGGTTTAGAATCCCCCATGCATGAGTTTGTCTCCATTTGGTGAAAGTGTAATGTTATTTCTTGAAGTTGGGTTTTTTTTAGGGCATGCAAAGTTACCTAGTTAGTGACTTTATGGTTCTAGACACTAATTAGGACTCGAATCTGTGGTTTGGACTTCTGGACTTAAGCATTGAGAGCTTAATTAATAGTTTGGCTTAATGGATGAGTATTTTGGGCGTACAAGTCTGTATGTGCAACGTACAAGCCAAATAGTGTGTACGCTTAGCGTACAGCTGAGTCCGCCCCACGTACTTAGTTAGGTGGGATTTTGCATATTAGGCTTCAGGTTTGGGTTTTCTGTTGGGCTTGGGTGTTTGAGTTCTTATTGTTCCATGTGAGTGCAAATGTTGTGGACAAGGAAAAATGGTTGGGCTTTAGGGTACGGCCCATGTAAGGGGTTTGGGCCCAATTTGGAAAATTAGGCAATATTTGGGCCTTGGTTGAATAATTAGCCTTTTGGGCCTTTTAGATTGTAAGTTTTGGGCCTTTGTCTTGTACCAAACCAGGATAGGGGTAAAATGGTCTTTTTACCCCAAGTAGGGATTTATGGTTATGGATTGAAACCCAAATGTTAATTATGTGTTGTTTTGGTAGTGATTATCTTGGGGATCTTTCAACCAGCAGTCAGGGATTATCTTTGGGATTATCGAAGACACCAATATCTTCCCTTGGTTTATTATGTTAGGATGCTAGATGTTTGTGACTCTTGCATATGTATGTTTGTGTATGTATGCCGAGCATGGCTTGATGTCGGGCAAAGCCTGATGATTGTATTGTATGTTGTTATCTTTATGATTATCGCATGTCTTTGTAGGATTATGAGCTAGATAGGGCTCATTACGTGAGTGTGGGCAGGGCCTGTATCTGAGTGGGCGGGGCCCGTTACACTCATTGGGCGGGGCCTATTATGTGCTTAGTTATGTATGGTATAAGGTATCTTGGGAAACTCACTAAGCTTTGTGCTTATGGATTTCAATATATGTTTCAGGTACTTCGATTTTCGAATGGAGGAGCTCGGGATGGTTGCAGAGCACACACCACATGTTTCCGCATTCTGTGATTTACTATTATATAATGATGTTTTGTTAAATCTTGATTACTTTGGTTTTGTGGAAATGATATGTATTAATGATTTATTAATTCAAATCGAAAATTTTATCGTATTATTTTTGGGACGTTACAGAAAAGTTTATAGCCTTGGTTTCTCGAAAGGAAGAAATAAGGTATATCATCGACTTAGATGACTCATATCAGGGTGAATAAAGTAGTGAAAATATCACTGATGAACTAGTTGTCATTGCTGCACTTATTGTCAAACGTTACGAATAATGAAGATAAAATGGGGGTTGAAGAGCTTCGTTTAAGGGAGGTAGTTCAGCGAGGAGGTCCACTTCAGAAAAGTAAGACTCATAGTTTTTTTAACTGTGGAAACCCTGACCATTTTTCCAGTGACTGAAAAGAGAATAAAGAAGCTAAAAGTCCAGAAAACTATGAAGTTTTGTACAAGAAGCTGTTAGCCCACATGAAGAAGTAAAACATCTCTCTGCCAAAATCTTTCATTGTAAAACAAGAGGATCGTGAAGAATAGGTGGAAGAAGAGGAGACATCTAAACATGAGGGGCTAAATGTTAAGGGTCTAATGGCTCTTATCAATGATTCCCCTTATGGAAATCTCAACATGTGTGATGTTGATACCTCTCAAATTTTCCAAGGATCAAGTCAAAATCTAGAACATACTTGGTTCCTAGATAATGAGTGATCTAGACACATGACCAGTCTCAAGTCCCTCTTAACAGATTTTGTGAAGAAAGACAGTCCTATGGTCACTTTTGGCGACAACAATGAAGAAGTTGTCATGGGCGTTGGATCTTTTGAAGTTAGGGCGTTCAAGCTGAAGGATGTGTTCTATGTAAAAGGTCTAAAAAGTAATCTTATCTACATCATTCAATTTCTTGATGCTGGTTATAAGCTTCTATTTGATTGCTATGAAGGAAAGGTTTTTGAATCTAAGAACAAAATTGTGCTTATTGCTCTCAGGGACAACAACATTTATACAGTTTGATTTTACTTGTTTAGACAATGCTACTTTATGTTTTGAACTTTATGCTTCCCTACTTTAAAATTTATGAACATAATTTGCTAGAATTTAATTTTCTATGACTTTCTTGCCTCAAAATTCTTTTAACTTTTATTTTACCAAAGAAGTATACATAATACATTATTCTACAAACGTTTCCTATGCATGTTTTTCTCTATCGATATTAACCTTAACCGATTTGTTCCTTTGGAAAATATTAGTGTATCTTTAATTTGGTGCAGCATCTTCTGAGTAGAGCTAGTTGAAGCTGACTTTGTATCTTTTCTTCAAAACCAACTTCTCTCTCCATGGCGTTGATGCTCACGCCGATTGACATGTTGCATCCCTTTGATAAGGCCATATTGGAGATAACTATGCCAAAATGTGTTATTCTGGGCACATATATCTTCCATCTGAAACAACCTATTTTTGTTTAAATGGGATGAAGTGAAGTTAGGTGACCATCATGTCTAATTTCCATCGACGCTATCACTACAACACCACCTCCCCTCAGAAATCCAAAGGCGTCTTCAACAAGACAATGTTCCCACCTTCTCTTCTTTCACAGACCACAACGAGTGGAACCTTCGAGGTTTGTCTATGTGACTCTCATAACTTGAAGGTTACAAAGATTGGGTCTTCTTAACTCATTGGTCACAAAGATTGGTTCATGTTCTTCTCTTGTTCTTTGTGAACATGAAGCTTGGAATCAATCTGCAATATCTCAACGATTAAATGCATTCTCTCTCTTTCTTTACCTTGAATTGTGTTTTTGTTTAATATATTTTATCTTGTTTTCTTATTCTTTTATGGACAGTGTCGAGGGGTAGATATCTCAGAAAACAGAAGTACATTTGTGGCCCTTTAATTCAAAAGATTTGATGGATCGAGTCTTCATCATATTTTTGAAAAGCTGCACAAATATCACATTTATAATATTTCCTTGTTTGACTAACTTCTTTTGTTCTATTCTTATATTATTTATTATTTTATCATGTACCATATTAAATGAATTGTTGATGAACATAAAGTTCTAGACTACAACTTAACTCTATGATACGGAAGTTAAACCACTTCTTGTTGATGAGTTAACATCGTTTATTAATTCACACTGGTTCCACCTCAGCATGACTGAAACAACCCATTCTTTCCTTAACTTCTTCTTAATAAAACTTTACAATTCACTATGATACCCCACAAACTGATAAAAGCTTGAAACACTGTGTCGATGGTTAGTCTATATATCGTAGACTATCACACGCACCAACCCCTTCTTCCCCTTACATTCTTCTTTAAAGCTTTATGATTCAATGTAATGTACCATATGCTGATGAGAGCTTGAAAAATCTATGTCGATGCTTAAGCTAAAACACCACAGCTTATTACACGCATTAATCCATTCTCTCCATATATTCTTCTTTAGAATTTTATGATTCAGTGTATGCAACCAGATGCTGATGAGAATTTGAAAATTTTGTGTCGATGGGTATATCATTGTCCGTGATATATTACACGCACATACCCATTCTTTCCCATTAATTCTTTTATTAAGAGGTTAATGATTCACTATATTAGCCATACACTGATAAAACTTTGACACTCTTTGTCGATGGGTACATTTCACACTAGAATGTATTACATACATTATAAAAATCTTGTCCTTTTTCTTCTAATAAAAGAGATTAATGAGTCAACGTATGAAACCACACTCTGATAAAACCTCACAATACTATGTTCGTGAATGATAGTTTAGACCTATACTATCAGGAGACATCACAAACTTACTAGACTTCAAGTTGTAATTCTGATATGTTGTTTGCTTCCGCTGATGACCATTATCATTGATTGTATGTCTCACTGATATAGCTTCCTTATCTCAACGGTAACTTTTTGGATGAAGATTTAAAAGGTCTATCAATATCTTGGGATACTAGATTTTAACGACGTTAATCCCTTCAATCATGATTGCGTGAAAGGGTAGAAAATTTTTGTATAAATTGGGAAAATTCTCTCCTATGTCACTTTTACAAGCTATTCAAGCAATTTCCTTTCTCTCGAAAAAGGTTCTCTCAACCATCATCTTCTTCAAAGATCTCATCATGTTTGCGTTTGCTCCTAATGCCAATGTCATCAAAGGTCCCCATGCCCATGATTCCCCTATTATTGTTCAAGCAAACAATGTGGCCTTCTCTAATGTCATCCCAAAACAGTTTGTGAACTCAAGAATTAAAGATTTCATCAACTATGTCAAGAGTTGCCATCTTCGATATGCTTTCTGTAATTTCCCAGTCCTATTCTACCATAAGCAAGTTTGTGAGTTCTATTATTCTTTCTCTATTGATTCTGATACTCAAACCATTACCAGAACCATTGGATATGGTCAATCTAAGGTTACCATTGATGCTTAATCCTTTCAAACTGCTCTTTGTATTCCTCGATCAGAAAACTACTATGAGATTCCTTCAGAAGAAAAGTGAAAACCCATTCGCGCAAATCTAGGGTATAATTTTTCTCTTCAGGGCACCTCACGTGATCCATCCAAATACAATTTTTGTCAATGTTTTAGTGTAGGGTGGAAGTATTTATCAGTAGTTATTGGTAAATTCTTTGACACAAGACCGGGAACCTTGATCAACTGAATCTATTTTAACAAAGAACTTTGTACTCTATGGTGTGCAACAAAAAATTGGATTTTATTCAACTCTTTCTTGATCAGTTGATCGATTGTGTCACTAGAAACAAGAAGCCAACACATGTTCCTTATCCTTGATGGCTTGTTTTGATCTTGGCTCGTGATGAAGGGTATATTGATAACCATGGGATCATCATTCCAATTCATTCCTTGTCCTCAAATATCATTAATGTTGCTGCTGTTGATGGAGAAAATAATATTACTCAACGAATGGATAATTGGATTCCAAGCCCCTATACTGTTGAATACTCTGATTCTAAAGAAGATAACAATGATGCTGATGAAGAAGACGTTGATGATGAAGAAGATGAATTGGTTATTGATAGGGGAGAATACCTTGATCAGGGAATGAACTCTAGTCGAAGATTGAACAAGCACATTAGATTCTCATCTACTTCTTCATCCACTCCCTCTGCAGTTGATGTTATATAACGTGGATCAACCCCACCTCTATTAGAAACTACTGATCCACTGATCCAAGATGTGATTTCTCCAAGATCAGCGTCTCCTTCTCCTCAAGATGAGCCTGTTCCTCCTATGCCAACACCTATTCAGACTGCTGCTTTTTATCAGGGGGAATCCAACTCCAATTTTGAATTAACTGTCCTCTCTCAACTTTCTTTATTAGTGAAAATAACTAAATCACTAGGAGAAAGATTGACTAACCGAGAAAAGGATGTGGCTGATATGAAGTGATTTATGCCTCAGGTGATGATGATATGGTTATTGAAGATACTCCTCCAAACTCTCCAGGTGATAATCCTCCCCCATCTCCACCTTCATCATCAAATCATCCACCACCACCTCCTCCACCATCTCATCCTCCTCTTCACACTCCTTCACCTCCTCTTGGATCTCCTACCCAATCTAATGCTATCAAAAATAGGGAGAATATTCAAGAGATCCTTGATCAACAAATGCAAATGGTGGCAATTGCATCACCTCCATCTCAACCTAAGATGTCTGGATCAGGAAGGGTTGAAGTTTATTATCAAAAGGAAATCGTTGTTGTTGTAAAAGTGAGCAAAATTCCAGATGCTAATGCAACAATAGATGATCAACCTATCCCATACGTTGGTGATCAATCAGAAATTGATGACTATGGAGGGTTTCTTGATCCGGGATTAATGCCAAAAGTTATTGTTCCCGCTGTTCCTCTGAGTGTTGTTTTTCCTGATTCATACTTTGATGGGGACATTCCTCAAGGAACTAATAGCAACATAGAGTGTGATGATGATCACCTCAATCCTTAAAAGAGGAGGGCTTCCTTCTAAGGGGGGGCCCATGATACTGAAGTTGGAAGCTCTTTTGCTGCTGATGATCCTTAATCACCTCCTCCTTCCAAGAAAATTAAGCTTAGTGTTGATGTGAATTCCTTAGCTCAAGTATGGTATATAACTTTTGAGGAAGTAAGAGGAATCATGATAGAGAATAATGCCGCTATTCGAGAAAAAAAAAGAAGCTAGGAAAAAGAGAATTTTTGTCCTTTAAACTTTTGCTTCCACTGATGAAAGTGTTGAAGTTCACAACACTTATTGATAGGATCAACAGAAAGAAGTTTGGAGATGTCCTGGCTCGTAGGTAAAAAAAAGGATCTCATCATCAGGGTAAGGTGCACCAACCCAAGGAAAGAGTCTCTAAAGCTTCACTTAGGCAGAAAGAAGACTGAGTATGAATACATTGGGGTTGTATTCGCTCGTGAACTTGTCAAATTTGGCTACAACGAGTGGATACAAATTTAGGAACTTATTGACAAACATAAATGTATTTATGCTCAAGAGGTGAAGATAGCAATTCATCAGCTACACAACAAACTCAAGAAGCTAAATCTTGTGTAATCAATTGTTCCTTCTAGACCATCCACCTCAGAAAGAACAGATGCCCCAAAAAGTCGAAGAATACTAAGTTTTTTCTTCCATATAGAACTCGTTACATCAACAATGAACTGCCAGTAGGTGTTGAACTGGTTCAGTACATGTTCATTTGAGAACCGGACCATGGCATTTTCTATCTTGATAGTCAAAATCCCATGTGCTTTCAATGCATTGATGATCTTCTCGTTGCACCCATTGAGCATTTATTTCATCTTCACATGGAAAAACTTAGTCATATAGAACATGAAAGAGGATATCGTGTGCTGATGTCTCTAGAGCTTAGTAAAATATTAGAAGAACTTAAAATTGATGAATTCAGATGGGTTAAGCCTAAGATCTAGAAAGTAGCTAACAAGTTTTATAATGGTTCTTTTGATGACTCTGAAGAAGAAGATTAGTTTTGACATCATCAGATAGCGGGGATTGTAAGGTCACACCTTATGATCTAATGAGTCAAAGACTATATACGCTGACCACCAGCGCCAATGCCAACATCAGTGTGTAGTTATATAATCTTATGTAATCTTTGTATCTTAGGTAACTATATATATATATATATATATATATATATATATATATATATATATATTAGATAGCAGATCTGATATCTTTGTGATGAGGATTGTTTCTTAGTATATATTAGATACAATCTATTCAATCAAAGGATATACTTGTATAGATTACTATATAACCAACATTACGGTGAAGCCCTAATGTTAACGTCTTGGTGACCGTCTTTGTGACAACCCGTTTTCTTGGTGAAAAAAAACCCTTTCTTAGTGAAAGTCAATTTGGTGAATACTTTGTGTTCTTTACTTTTTCTACTCTTTAACTGTTTAGATTAGTTTGTTCTTGTGTATTATACTTGAAGTGTATCCAATCGATACAAACCTTCAGTTTAAAAACATATATCCAAAAGCTATGATTTAGCGTGGGTTTGACATTGCGTAAGATCGTATATCAACCTCATGTGATCGAGTGGCTCTTGACTATGTTTTTACTTTATCGGTGATGGTCAAACAATTAGACTTGCTAAAGTGAAAGAAAAACATGTACCTCCTTGGTAGATGGTCAACCAACCTTAATGCCTTGATTAAAACAAAATATTTCTAGGTTCTGATTAACCGACAAATATTCCAGCAACCCCAGCTTCAAGTAAGATGTTCAAAGCAAGCAAGGACTTACAGTGATAAATCAGGCTACCTGAAATCAAACTCGGTCTACCTGAAATCTTGAACTCAGTATGTCGATCGAAGCAAGCTATTTGAAATAGACTTACATGTCTCTAACCAATATGAATGCGAACTTAGTCTACCTTAAATAGACTTACATGTCTCTAGGTTCTGATTAACCGACAAATATTCCAGCAACCCCAGCTTCAAGTAAGATGTTCAAAGCAAGCAAGGACTTACAGTGATGAATCAGGCTACCTGAAATCAAACTCGGTCTACCTGAAATCTTGAACTCAGTATGTCGATCGAAGCAAGCTATTTGAAATAGACTTACATGTCTCTAACCAATATGAATGCGAACTTAGTCTACCTTAAATATTTTTCTTCGTGAAAAGTGGTCTACACATAGTATTTAATTGGAAGTTTGGCTATCAAAAAATATCTTGGAAGTTTGGGTACCACATAATCATTTGGATGTTTGTGTATCACATAATCTTCATCTACACCTTTTTGGTGATATTCCTACCCAATTCATAGGAATGGAAATCCTTAGCTACTTGAATGTATCATGTAATTATTTGTTAGGTAACATTCCAACCTCCAAAGCATCAATACAGAGTTTAACGTCCATGGATTTTTCCTATATACGTCTTTCTAAGCTAGTATCAAGAACGTATCACTTTAATTAGTTACTTCAATTGCAATTCATTTTAGGTCACAAACTACAACCAAGAAGGTTAAGGTTCACCTCAAAACACAGAAGAATGGGTCACATACCCATATTATGGTGAACCATAATTACATGATGGCCTGATAAGAAAAAAGAAGATGAACATGATGGAGGGTCTTGACTCTTGAAAACGGTATGTATTGAACATGATGGAGACACCTTATCCACTACTGTGAAAGAAAGAAAGAGAGAAATATATATATATATATATATATATATATATATATATATATATATATATATATATATAAACATGTTTTATTTTTTATTTTTTATTTTTCCAAAATATATAATTTTAAAATTAATCAATGTGGATGACATCTCAGTGTTACTTGGACCAATTATGATGATTAAGACACCAACTAAGAGGGTGTAACCGACTAAACCATCGTATATCAAATAATGGTGTTTACTAATTTTCATAGTTTATGCACCTAGAGTATCCAAAAAAAATGAGTGGCCTTTTGAATCAAACTAGACAGCTTTTAGTGTAATGGTGACATTAGCCCTTTCAAATGTGTTTTTCAATGTTTCTTGATTTTCGTTTCTTGGACTCAATTTTTGTTTCCAAGTTTATTGATTCCATAAATCATGGAGTTTTTGGTGTTGATTATGATCGTTGAGTTTTTGTAGGGATGAAACCATTACTAGATTATAGGCTTTGATAGAAAATAAGTTTTGAGGAGATTTACGTTTGATTGGGTTTTGAAGAAGACACAAGAAAATAAGTTTCTTCATAGTTCCCCAGGCTGCAAAACATAGTCTGCAAATCCATGGTTTTGATTTTCTCACTTTTTTTAGAACATCAACATGATATTCCTATTTTTCATCAAGTGGGTCAAGAAATTTTAAAACAAGTACATGGTCATATTTATTAATTTTAAAACTCCTCGCATCATTAATAAGATAATTAAATATGTTAGAAGTTTGAGTGAGAGATTCATTCATGTAGGCAAATAAGTATTCATACTTTCAATTCACAATGTTTTCTTGAGTGGCTCTAACTTATTTAAATCCTTTAAAAGCAACTTTCAACATCTTGAGTGTGACAACCCGAAACTATTCTGTCACCGTAACCCGTTTTCCGTTAATAGAACTCGTTCTTATTTAACTTTTTCGTTAACATTGGGATCAAACAAATAAAATTTTGTACTTTTACTATGACTTCATAAGGATCGGAATAAATTAGGAATGCGGGGAAACACCCTAAATATCCTTTTAAGAAGTTTTAGTTACAAACGAATTAAAATACGACCATTTAATCGGGTACGACCTTAAGCCCCGTTTAACGACGGTATCGGGTAAAATTCCACCTGGCCACAAAGTGGTCACCAAGTTAGAACTTTTACCACCCTAGTCTCTCTCTCTCTCTCTCTCTCTCTCTCTCTCTCTACTCTCTCTCTTCAAGGCCCAATTCTTCTGAAATCTGCTAGTTTCCGCTCCAAACTATAAATACACTTACCCTAGATTGTTCTACAACCCATTGCATGTCATTATAGCTTAAAAATCGTCCAAGAAGGCCAAGAGTAAGGAGTTTAAGGCCCAAGAACACTCTAGGGCTGTAAACCCCTAAAATGTGCCAAAATGGCCCCAAATCCCTTCCTTAGGATTAGAGGCTAACTTAGAACATACCCTAGAAGTGTTTTAGCCATTTAATCTTGTGTTTAGAGGCTTAAAAGAGCATTTACGGCCCAAGAATACCCTTAGGCCGTAAACTCCCTTAATCTATGCAAAATGAGCCTTTAACCCCCTAATTAGTCTTATACCTTCACCTAAAAACATATAGGAGTGAACAAATGACCTCAAAATCGAAGTATAAGGGGTGTCCAAGAGTTCACAGCCATAAACCATGGGGTTCACGACCATAAACTCCCAAGTAGTGGTCCTAGGACCGCAAACTCCAAGGGAGTGCCCCTTTGGAACCTTAAACACCCCTTAAGCCTTGTATATTGCCTTGGAATCCCTTCTAGAGACACAAGAGACTTGAAAACACACAAATACACTCCTCCCATGAGTTTACGGCCGTAAACTCATGGGGGAGGTGGTCCTCAGCTGTAAACTCACCCAAGGTGAGTTTGTGAGGAGTAAACTCCATAGTGAGGCCTAAAACTCCTTCCTTGCAACCCAATAGCCTTCTAGCGCTTAACCATAGAGCTTTTATTCACATTAGGATGTCTATATGTGTTTAATTAGTGTCTAAATCACTAATTACTTGTAAACATATGTCTTCATATGTTACTAGGGTCATAAGGTGTGTACAAGTCTTTACTTGGCACCAAACGCTCAACTGACACTTCCACCCGATCTACTCGCTTCAAGTGAGTTCATACCCCTTAATTAAACTTTTTAAATGTTTTTACATGTTTTAGGGGGGATACAAGTAAATGCAACAAGTTCTAGTTCCTAATCATATGTGATTTATAACTTACCGCCAAAATGGATTTTTCTATACTTTATTCTATTTGTCAATAAAACTG